TTAACATACCCAGCAATCATCGAAGTCCAACAAACCACATTCCTCAAAGTAATATCTTCAAACACTTTATAAGAACTCTTGATTTCTCCACACTTAGCATACATATCTAAAAGACCTGTCAACACAACATTATCGAAACTCGGCACCTTAACAATCTGGCAATGTATCTTCTTCCCATTGTCTAAATCCTGAACCTCAGTACACGCTTTCAAAGCTTTCGAGAAAACAATATCATCATATCCGAATCCATGCTTCATCAATAAATCATAAAACTTTATGACTTCAAAACTCTCGTTGTTCAAACAATAACATCTGAGGATGACTTTCCATAAATAAAAATCTGGTTCAGGAATTTGATCGAACACCAAGCGTGCATCTTTAGTATACCCAAAAGAACCGTATAGACTCACGAGCTTGGTGGCAATTGAGATATCACCCATGAGTCCATTTCCCGTTAAAACCCCATGAGCTTGCCTTAGAGAATCAATGTTCGTGCACTTACTTAGAAGGAGAAAGCACGGTCTCGAAGCGGCGTAATTCAAAGAAGACTCATCATTGTCTTCGGGCAAATTCAATTCTTGGATTGTCGTAAATGTGAAGCATCTCTGTTGAAACACAAATCTTCTAATCGGAGACACCCTTTGAGGTAAAAGAGAGATTAAGCGTAGCATCGGTCTTCCGTCTTCGCCGTTCACAACTTACCGGCGGTTTGGCTCTTCCCGCCAGATAATTGGTCTCTAAAACGAAAAACTTGAAAAAATGGGCCTTAAATGGGCCTATATTATAAATATACTAGTAATCTAAGGCCCGGTTATTTATTAATTTTGTGTTGTTTACATTTGAAGTATAAAAGTGTTTAATAACAACAACAAAACAACAAAAACGTTGACCAAAAATACAAAACAACAAAAAATCACAATTTTAATCTTGATTCCAAGAAATTAACGTCAGTCAAAATTTCATAGTTTGTTGAGTTTTTTTTTGGTGAGGAAGAGGTAGACATGGTTTCCCATTTTATTTTAAAAAAAAAATACAAACTACAAACGGACATTTCGCAGATGCGATAGTCCTATAGAATCCTCGAGTTTGTTGAGTATAAACAAAACATTTTGGGTTAAACAATTAATTTAATTACTTAATAACTCAAAAAACCTATCTTTTTAACTGCTTTTTTTTTTCATACACTCTATAGCATACGGCCCATGTTCTAAAAATCAGCCGCCTAGACACTAATCAGAAAGGGACCGCAGCGGTTTTGTTCAAATCGGTAAAAATAATCGTCGATTCGATTTTTTGTCCGCTTAGGCGGCCGTCTAGCCGCCTAGATTGCACCTAGTCCATTTTTTTTTTACAATTTTTTTTTATGGATTTAAAATTCAAAACGTCTAATTTATGTTCATTATTTTTTATAAAAAATAATTTAAGCTTAAATCTTGTTTTCATGTGTTTAATGCAATTTTAAAGACAATATAATCTAAATTTCTCGATTATAATGGATTAATATGTTTTAAAAACATTAAATAACCTTAAAACTAGTCTCCAATTATCTACTCCTCCGCCGCTAACATACTTACCATTCTCATCACCGCCGACAAATAATCCATCACAACAACATCAATTTCCAATTTACTACACTCACTTTCCACATCCACCTCATCCATCTTTACCACCTCAATTTTCACCTCCACTTCTCATCTTCACCACCAAATTTACTTCCTCCACCACCAACTTATCATTATACAATCACCAACTCAAACTAAATACGAATTAAAAATAAAACAAAAAACGAAATTTTTGATTTTGGAAATTAAAATCAACCATAAAAAAGTTAAGTTAGCTATTTTATAATTTCATATACAAATATCATTATATTTATTAATAAAATTTGGTATATGTTTATAAATCATGATATTTTAACATATATCATAATATATATTGACATATCATGATATATATACATATTATAATATTTTTTTAATATATCATGATATATGTTGATATATCATATGTAAACAACAATAATGTAATATTAATATGTATGTTATATATTCATGTATTACGATATATATATTAATAAATCTTTCTATAGTTGTATATATTGTGTTATATATTAATATATCAATTTTATATTATCAAACCAATGCTATGAAATAAATTAACCTGTCTCACTAGATGATGCTTCTCAGACCATGTCCTGTTCATATCAGTTTTTTTACAGATTTTGTCTGCTTAAGAAAATGCCTATCCTTATGATTTAAGGATATTTTGATCATCTTTTTATTTCTTTATTTTATCTTACAAATACAAAAAAAAAAAATCATTGCTATAATTTTAACTCTTTTTCAAAATGTGTATGCAGCTAATTGTCTCTTAATTATATGCTCTATTATAGTATTCCCATGCGTCAGCATTAATAAATGTGTTTTGTTTTTTGGCAAAAAGTCTTGCAAACATTTTAAAATATGTTGTAAGAGAAACGTCTTCTTCACCTCGTTTGCATTCTATATATCTTCTTCTGTTCTTCACACAGTAATTCACTTACAAAAGTTTTCTTTCTTTTCTCTTCCATTGAAGGATTCCTAAAGCTTAAAGGTCGATAAAAAATTGATTTAATTTAGTAAATGAAGTATGAATACTCTATAGTACTATATTTGTTATTTGATATATAGGTGCCTCGCATGTTCTCTTCATGGACTTTTAATCATTTAATTTAACTTTTGGCAAATCAAAATTATAATTTCTGACGGGTTATTATGAGTTATGATCATATAATTATAGCCGTTCGCCAGGATTCTACGCAGAGGGGAAGTGTCCATCAAGAGCATAAAGAAGGAGGTGAAGGAGGTGAGTATATAATAAATCCAGACGTTAAAAAAAAAATACTATTTATTGGTTTGTTTGAAAATTATTACTTTCGGATCATATGATGTTACTACACAAATTCTCAAATTTTCAAAACTTGTGAATTATATTTAACCCGTGGAACATAATATAGTGATGTTATTACATTTAAATTATATGGTTTCTATTTTTAATGTTATTTATAATAAACTAATAAATTCGACCGCTCCTTCGGCTCATGGGTCCAATGGGCTTCATCCTTTATGGGCCATTATCTTGACTACGTGGCAATCTTTGGTTGGTCGCGGACTTCTGGTGCGGGATCCGACACCAACACCGTCAAAAAGATTAAAATTTCCCAAACTGGATGACCAAAATTGTCATTCGGATCAAATCTGCCAAATAGGCATGTCCTATAACGGGTTAAATATTCACGTCGGCTAGGATGAGATCCGCGATACACCATATGATTATATACTTTTGTACAAATTATTTTTTATATTTTCATTTCAAATTTTAATCTTTGTTGAAAATGTAATGGGGTTAGTATAATGTGTAAATGTTTTTTACTTGTTTTGTAGAAAGATGTATAGATTGTTTGAGGTTTAGAGAAATGTGAGGTGTTTGATGTATTAACAAATTAATTGTGTTTGTTTGTAATAAATGGGATTATATTTTTTTCATAATATTTTATGTAATTTAGAACTTAAAATTTTAGCATTTAGGTTTAATTTTTATTTTGCAATAATATTTAGATTTTTATAATGTTTAGTTTTGCAGAATAATACAGTTTTTTTTGTTTGTTTAGATCATATCAATATTTTAGAATTTAGATTGTTTAGTTTTGCAGATTTTTAAATATATAATACTATTTATTGGTGGAAGCCACCTTGGCCCATTGGTTGAACAAGGGTTAATTAATGCTTCTACACCCAGAGGTCTGGGGTTCGAGTCCCATATACTGCGATTTATTAATAAATTTGCAGATTATTGGAGGCAAGTGTGCAGGAGATCTCCAGCGATATACAATTATAGCCGTTCGCCAGGATTCTTCCAGCGATATACAATTATAGCCGTTCGCCAGGATTCTACGCAGAGGGGAAGTGTCCATCAAGAGCATAAAGAAGGAGGTGAAGGAGGTGAGTATATAATAAATCCAGACGTTAAAAAAAAAATACTATTTATTGGTTTGTTTGAAAATTATTACTTTCGGATCATATGATGTTACTACACAAATTCTCAAATTTTCAAAACTTGTGAATTATATTTAACCCGTGGAACATAATATAGTGATGTTATTACATTTAAATTATATGGTTTCTATTTTTAATGTTATTTATAATAAACTAATATGATGTTATAATATTAATATATTTAAAACTAAATTAATATTATGATATAATTTATTTTTATTATTTCATATAAATTATTAATAATATTTGTTTCGAAAGATGAAAATTTCTCATATTTTAATTAAATTTAATCTTCACAATTAAAATACTTATTATATTTTATATATTAATAACTATATGATTTTTATAAAAAAAAACGTAGTATTAATATATGTATAGATTTTTTTGTTATTTTTTAAATAATACACTTTCTTATAAACGTATTAATATCAAAAATTTAAGTAAAGAATTCAAATACTTAAAATTTAAAATGCACTAATGAATTTTTTTTTTTAATTTTCTAGATTAATTAATATAATTTCTTTTTTGAATTAATGTCAAAAATATTTAATTGTGTTTGGTTGTTAAGATAGTAGACAATTAATTGTGAATCTTGTTTGGATACATGGATAAGTTAAGATGTAAAAGACAGTTTTACCATTAATGAGAGTTTTTGTTTTGTTCTTTTTTTGAATGACATTTCATGTAATAATTCCCAACTTTAATGGTATTTACTCAAAAATGCTTCCCTTTTTAATAGTATAGATATATTTTCATAGTTTTTTCAAATAGATTTTAAATTTTTTTTTTATGTTTTATATAATTTATTGAATAATATATAAATTTTAAGTTTTGTTAAGTTTTTTAGAATAACCTTAATGAAGTTTATTTTGATAACCTCATATTAGTGGCATTATTGGTAATTATTAGACAATTGCTAGATAACTCTTCTTTGTTGACAAAAAAAAAAAAAAAAAAAAAAAAGAGATAACTCTTCTTCCTGCCGTCGAAAAAAATACGCTTTCATTTCTTGTAATTTGGTTTCTGTTTTTTCACCTAATGGATCCGATGATCAATTCTGTGGAGTACAATGGCGTCGACGAGCATGGTTGGAAGAAAGTAGTGTCCCGGAAGCGCGTTCGGAAGCAAAAACCGGAGGATCAGGCGGCCAATGGAAACCTAGCTAATAACGATAAATCGAACTGTGCGGCGGCGAATGAAAACCTAGATTACAGCGAGGAGCAAGCTGGTGATGTGGTGGATGAATCGAATCTGAAGGCGGAGGAAGAAGAAAAACCGGATTGGAAATTGTCTCTTGCCAAAGCTGCGGCAAAGATCGGTCCTTCAGATCTTGCGGATTTCCTCGACCGAGTACCGGTACGTGCATGCGATCTTAAATCGATAAAACCCACAAATCAAATTTCATTTTTTTGTTTGTTAATTTATTATTTAGGACACGTATCCGCTTGTGGCGAGTTTTCAGCTAGCGAGATTTCTCGATTACTATGAGGTTGCACTTGCCGGAGTACCTTGTCCATGGCGTCAGATGCTCCAGGAGTCTGATTTGCCCAACCTGTTCGATGTGCTCCATGTGAGCAACTCTTTCGTTTACGACGTTTTTGTCAATCCAATTTCTCTAGGTCATGATTTTTGTATGTATATATCTTTTTTATAAACAGGTTCCGTTATCTTATATTCCTGAACCTGTCTACAAAACATCAATCTATTGGCTCGACCAACTAGTTCCATCGACGGAGTTACGCTGTGACTTTGTCTTGTTGTCGTTTAATTATATTCTCTGTGATTTGTATATACAACGAGGAGGAGTTTTTCATGATGAAGCTATGCATCTAGGATATGCTAAACCAGGTGATCCTTGCGTATCTGAGGTAAACTATCCTATCGCTTTCACTTATGTCTGTGTGATGTTATTGAATCGTGTATCTACTTACCTTTGTTTGCACTATTATATTTGTTTTACGATTTAGGTGTCAATATTTGTTACATTAGCAATGCTTGTGCGTAGCGATCCTCTTGTCTTGACTAGGGTTCTGCCCTCTCTGTGGGTCAAGCGATATTTTCATGGACCTGGCCGGATTCCGCTTACAATTTGGTTGGTAGATCAGGTTCGTGTGATCCTTTAATTATGTGAACAACAACCGAGAGTGTATGTTGAAATATTTGTGTGATATGTATTCTGAATGCTGTTCAACTGTATAATGTGGACAGGCCTCCCAAGATAATTTACCTGTAGGCTTGTATTCATGGGTGCATAGCTTGTTACCACTAGTCCCTAGAATTCCTGAGTCAACGGATCCCATCCTAAAGTTGGTTGAGAAGTAAGTTCAAAGTTTTCTTGTGATTTCCTTAAGTTGCCATATATATACAATCATCTGATCTTGTATGTTCATGCAATCAGAATTCTGGCGAAACCAGACGCTCAAACCATACTTGTAAATGCTCCTGTTTGGGATGGAAGGCGACTGATTCCACCTCATATATTTGAGGCCTTGCTGTGGCTTACATTCCCTGTCACATCCGAAAGAGAAGAGGTATTGGAATTCTATAGAAACAAAACCTTGTTGCGTTTTGTGGATTCTGATCACAAGCGTATGCCCACAGGCTACAAGTAGGTTTGAGGCAATTTATCCCTTGTTAAAGGAAGTGGCTCTTGCCAGTACATCAGGAAACGAGGCAATAAAACAGATATTCACTTTTTCTTTGAAATTATCTGGAGAAGAAGGTATTAATTAATTAGTAACAAACCAAACCTTGAATTCAAATAGACTTTTCTCTTTCCCTCTCTCTTGTCCAATAGAGTAGTAATCTGTAACTGTTGTTGCAGGGAATCCAGCTTTAGTAAAGGAAGCTACCGCAATCGCTATCCGGTCTCTGACCGAAATCGTTGATTGCTGGAAGCACTGGGAAAGTATCTACAAGGAGAATCTGAAAGAGAGTCTCACTCTTCTTAAAAAGCTTCTAGGAAAATGCAAGGACAGTACACTAGGAAGCAAGGCAATGATTCAACAGATATTCACTTTTTCTTTAAAATTAGCTGGAGAAGGTATTCTTTGAGTTTTCTGCTGCTTCCCTCTCTCTCTTTTCCAAATAGAGTTCTCATTTGTTACCGTTGTTGCAGGAAATCCTGTTTTACCCCAGCAAGCTACAGCAATTGCTATCTGGTCTCTGACCAAAATCTTTGATTACTGGAAGCACTGGGACAATCTCTATGAGGAGAATCTAAAAGCTTGTGTTGATCTTCTTAAAAAGCTTGTAGAGAAGTGTGAAGCTCATTTCCTCAAACTATCACCATCACCGAGTAAATGTACTCTTACCGGTTCACCAGGAAGCAAGGCAATGAAACAAGTCACTCAAAAGATATTCACTTTGTCTTTGAAATTAGCTAAAGAAGGTATGAGTAACAAACCAAACCTTGAATCCTTGAGTTTTCTGCTTCCCTCTCTCTTCTCTAAATAGAGTTCTAATGTGTTACAGTTACAGGAAATCCTGTTTTAGCCAAGGAAGCTACATCAATCGCTATCTGGTCTCTGACCGAAAACATTAATTGCTGGAAGCACTGGGAGAATCTCTATAAGGAGAATCTAGAAGTTAGTGTTGCTCTTCTTAAAAAGCTTGTAGACGAATGGAAGGGTCATTCTCTCAAATTATTATCACCACCGAGTGATACGCTCACTCTCAGTCAAACTATAAAGAGCTTCATGCTAAAGGTATTACCTCTTATTCTTCTAAGCTAACTAATTTCACCCTCTACACGGTTGTAATTTCATCTCTGATCTAATTCCTGTGCTGTTTTTTAGAACAAAAAAGCCATCACTGAGAGAGAAGCCAAAGCTTCTCTTTACAAAGAAGCTGACGAGTCCTGCAAAGTGATATCTGGAAGACTCCCTCGTGGAAGTATCAGCCTCAAAGGTACAACCATTACTGTTGTGGTTCTAGTTGCTACTGTGGTTCTAGCCGCTGGTGCACATGGTTTATCTTACAACCCGTAGGAGGCTACAGCCGAGCTCCACCTATACGTCAATGCAAACACCCCAGCTTTCAAGAACTAAGAGAGGAGAGAAAAAAAAAAGAAACTGAGGACGATAAGTAGAGAGAGTTAACTCCTTATTGTCGGTTGTATCAATGTATGTTCGGTTTATTTTGTTTTGAGTTTGATAAGTCTGATTATGTTAGAAAATACAAGCCGTAAGCAGGAAGAATATAAGAAAAGAACATGCACAAATCATTACAGCAAGTGATTCATTATATACAGTCGTAAGATATACTAAAATAGACCGTTCTTAAAATAGAGAGTCGTAATTTCTTAAAATGCAATCGTAGATATTAAAATCCAGAGTATATACATCAAGTGAATCTATCTGTGAATCCAGATCAGTTGATACTGGCTTTGCAAATAGTGGAGTTTTGGTTTGTCCCAAGGAAACTTCATAGATGGATGGATCTCTTGGAAACTTTCCGAAGTTGAGAAACAATGGTGTAGTGTACGCTGGGAAGAAAAAAAGACAAAATAAACTCTAAATACATGTAGAAGACGCAGAAGTGCTTCAGGTCTAAGTGTGTATTACATGGTTGAAACTGGAAAGCACATCAGTTTGACAGCTTGTGATAATCGTTGATGGAAAGTGTAGGCTTATGTTTTTGTATATCCCGCATGTTAAAATGAATAATTATGTTTTTGTAGGCTTGCATATTTTTTAGATACAAAATTGTGTTTATGTTTATAACAAGTACTATAAAACTTTAGATTTATAAATGTTTATGTTTTATAGTACTTGATTTTATTAATCTTGTCATAAACTAAATTTAATGTTTACAAAAATAATCTAAAAATGACAATATATTAGAAATTTTGAAAAATAAACATAATCCCGTGTTGTAGATTTTTTCGGGTCAAAACTTAACAACTGGAGCGGTAATGGATAATAACCAATTTCAAATTTCTGGGTCATTTTGTTTAACTAGATTTACTTGCCCGCACGTTGCGCGGGATATCAAAATTTAAACTGACCACAATACAAAATATTAACAATATTCATAATCATTTGAATTTCAAAACTATATATATATATATATATATATATATATATATTCATACTTGTTTTACAAAACAGTATACAACATAGAAATTATAAAAAATATTTGGTATGTACCACGTAATAACAAAAGTAATATAATATGAATCGGTTTCGGTAGCCATCCATAAACTTTTTTCAAAAAGAGAGTTTATTCTATAAACAGATCTTGTAAATATCTATCTCGAGGTTTTGATCTAATCTTACCCCATACTAAAAGTAAATTTGCTGAGTTTGAACATCAAATTATGAAAATGTATAAACGTAATATTCATGCCGCTTCAATAGGTTTGGAGAGCACAATTTACCTACTGAAGCAAGACAATCATGCATTAAGGAAAGTTTTGACCAAATCATGAATGTCATTATCTTATCTTATCTATCCTACAACGCTTTATACATGGCTCAACGGTTTAACCCACTGTTGAATATGATAGTTTGGTTTACTAAATCAAACTATCCGATAGTGCATACATATATCCGATGAATTTATTTTAGCCATGTGCATATATATATCTGATGCTTCAAGCATTAGTCAATTTCTCTTCAAACATTTTTTCACTTTCATTTTTTCGTCATCTTCTATGATGTATTTATTCGCCTCCTAACATCTACTTTTCTTTTATCTTCTATGCTCACTTACATATAATAAAAAAAACTTTGAATTCATTCTTAACTCAAAACTATTTTTTTTTATTTCCATCTTCTTAGCCTATTTTCTCTTATTAATTATATGATTTTCATTCTTGAGCGTAATATAGTTTTACGGAAGATATATATTTATGAAAATTGTCTCAACACTTATTTATATTTTACCTATATTTAAATACTTTCCCCTTTTTTATTTAGAAAGCAAACAATATTATAGATATATTTGTATTTTTTTAATTGTATTATTAAGATACAATCAATCTTTCTATTTTTTCGTCAATGTGAATTTATACTTTTACTTTCTTCAAATATAATTTCCAATTATAAAAATGAATTATTTCTTATATCTTAAAAAAAATTATACAATCATAAATTTACTATAACATTAACCATTTATTTTTTAATCTAAAAAATAATATTATTTTAAATAGATTTTTTCCATTTCATTATCATCTCTTTAAGTTAATGTTTCTTGGAACTATGAATATCTTCTTATTATTAAAAAAAAACTCTTATAGCTTTCTATTTTAATTCAATTCTTTTGTTCATCCTAAATTATATTTGAAGTTTCCTTATTATTCTTAAAAATGATAGGTTTTAAAAGTTCGTTTATTTTTTTATTTTTAATAAGTTATCATTTTTTTGTAATTGTATAATAAATTTCATTAAGAATCCTTTTGCCCTTCTTAAATAACAATGGTATTTCTATGAAATTTTCATTATTATTTTTTATTTCTTAATTATATATTTAGGTATTATGTTCATTTTAAGTTATATATTAGCAAAAAAATTAATTTTAAGTGTTTTATATTTATATATGTTTCACTTGTGTTATTATTATTCAAGTAACCTTTATTTAAAATTGTGCATTAATTAAAGATTACTTCTTAGATAATCAGATGTAATTAACTATAAAATTAAATATTTTGAAACAATTATTGGTGGGATCCATCATATTAATTTGGTGATGATGTAGACACTCTAAGAGGAGAGAAAACTCTCTCATTATATATATAGATTTTAAATCAACCCGATTAAAAAATACTAATGTTAACTCCAAAATATCCTTAATGATCTTATTCTCATAATGGCATTCCTTGTAATACTTTGAATTTTTGGATAAAAACTTATTTGTACTTCTCATAATGTTTAGTGTAGGCGGAATAAATGATTTTAGATTCCCGCTTAGGGATTTTCTATCTTAGCGTTTACTAAAAGCTGTTATAGAAAAACTGAATTTACAACTCATCTTTGATAGCAGTTGGGAAAAATGAACTATCATCTTGTGCTATTAATGTAGAATTTTCTTGTAGTGCTAATCCGATTAATTTTCGCCTAATCCGATTATTTTCCGTCTATTCTTACATATTCCGATTATTTTTTTTATTGCATGTATAAAACAACTTTTTTTTTTGTTATTTAAACATTTGAATTGAAAGTTTGTGATGTTTTACAATAATTTATGTTCAAATTTTTAATAAAAATCAAAAATTTTTAATAAAAAATCATAAAATTTTGCCTTAAAATATATTTTTATGTGTTTACCACAATTTTAAAAACAATATTAGATTAATAAATTTTTAAAATATTAAAATAACCCTAAAACTAGTCTCCGATTAATCCCCGATTTTAATCCGATTTTCCGATTAATCGCTAGGCCTATACTGAACGCCCGACTAACGCCTAACGATTTTTCAAACAAGGGTTGATAACAACCTCTACTCTCTTTAAAAAGCAAAGAGCATTATGGGGCCTTTCGGAAAATGAATTGGGCCACAGACTCATGTGATTTTGTAAAATCCTAGCTAATCCCGAATTGAGGTTTTATAATAAAATCCTACTAGCTAATCCCGATTGTTTTAGACCTAGTTTGACACTTATTCGGGATCGTCGCGTCGGTCATCGGCGGGAGAGCTCCGCCGTGTAAATTTCGCTTGCTATCTTCACTTACTTCCCGCAATGGTTGTTGCTATATCTGTCACTGGACCTGAGAATGTCCCTCCACATTTGAAACCTCAATTCATAGAATTGAAGGGTGCGCAGGTTAAGGTGAGACAATATCTCTCTGAAACTCATGTTTTAAGGACAAGGAAATCATAGCTTGTAAATTTGCTTGTGACCTGTTCAGATTCTGCATCTATCAGAAAGGTGGAAAACCTTTTGTTCCTTTCCTTCAGTATGTTTGCTGTGGTGACACGATCAATGGATTGCTGCTAAAGCTTTATTTTTCATTACTTAATGCAATTGCAGGAACTCTTAGACTCACTAAAGCATGTACTTGGGACGGATTTCAAGAGAAGCTTATTTCCTCTTATTGACACTCTTTCAGTTGAGAGGTATGAGGCTTATGAAGCACATCTGTAATACGATATTTCATGGAGCCGTTTTGTCAAATAGAGATTTTGTTATCACATAGAATCTATTAAAGCTTTACGTATGTATAAACTAGTAATGACTTTTGTCTTCTGTGTTAGGGTTCTTGTTGGAACTGGGGGAGCATGTTGTGAGTCTTTGATGCCTTTGGCTTTCAGCCTACTCGTTCACCACGTTCGCAGAGATCTTTCTCTTGCTCAGGTAATACTAGTTGCTTTTCAAGATTGAGTGTTGTGATCAGGGGTTCAACTTATTTTTTTTGGTTTAGTTTCCTACTGTATTCTGATAATTTATTATTTTGTAAGTTTCAAAACTAAGTTATGCTGTTTTTGTTTTGATACTGGGAAACATGTGTTTTTGTTATTGATTTGATCACTTGATCTTCAGGGGCAGTTTGCTAGATGCATTTGCCTTCTTGTTATCTCTTTGCATTTCCTGATGGTCAATAGCTCTAAAAACTATTCTTTTTTGATATGTCATTTTGTATGTTTACTTAATACTTTTCTTAACTCCACTAAATCATTGCATGTGTTTACCTCTGCATAGCTTTTGGAGAAGGGTGAGGTGGGAAAGGATCAGGTCACTTTTAGGTTGAAACTTGAACTTCCTTTCCAGGTAATTTTTGTCATCTCTTATCAATGATGACTTTTTTGTTTTTGTTTTAGTGAGTAACCCTCAATTATCTGCCCATGTAAGATCGTCTTGCACCTGTTATAGTCTAACTCAATTGCTAATATAAAGCTCTAAATTTTCTTACACAGATGGTCTTTGAGAAATGGCGTCTTCTTCTTCCTGAAATTATAATACAGCCTTTAATTGTGAAGGTTTCTCCTGCTGCTCAGGGGATGCACTCACAAGCTCTAGCTTCACAATCATCTGTTCCGCTGGGTTTTAAAGGAATGAGAGAAGATGAGGTATTTGCTTGTGAGATTGTAAACTTTAGTCATTTATAGTGAATGGCTGATAAACCTCTAGTAATCTCTGCTTTTAAGCAGGTCTGGAAAGCCTATGGTGCTTTAAGGAGTGGTGTCCACTGCTTAGCTCTCTTCAAAGGAAAGGATGAGGTGAAGGAAATGCTTAATTCGTTCTCCGAGTTTCTTGCTATTATGGAACCTCTGTATCTGGTGGACATGTTCTCTTTATGCATGCCAGGGCTTTTTGACAGCCTGATATACAATAAACAACTGGTTCAAATATTTGCTGAACTTCGGCAAGTTCCCAAATTATACAAGCCATTTTCAGATGGTCTGATTAGCTTACTAGTAAGCATCAAACTTGATGTTCTGAAGAATCCAGATTATGGTGCAGCTAAACTAATTTTGCATTTGTTTATATGCATCCTTGGGGATGATACCAAAACACAATCTGATATCGAAAGAATATTACAGCACCACGAGCTTGTTATTATGGAAGTTAAAGATAACAAGCTCGTTATTATGTTCACCACGAGCAATTGCCTATTTGTCACATGCAATTGCTCAGCACTGTGTTCATATGTCTCATTGGATGTAAATATGAACTATTTTTCATGGACCTAATCCCATGTGTTGGACTGATACTTACAGATGTGAGAGAAAAAGTTGCAAATCCATACTATGTTAAAAGTCAGTCAGCAACATGTAGCTTGCATGGCTCCAAAATTACCTGAACTTGTGATGACATACACCAATGTGTATATTATTTAAGCACTATTATACCCAGTGTGATTAGAGTGTAATATATTGATGGTTTTGGTTTTTGACTTAATTCTGTAATACTCGTTTTGTTGCCATTGAGTTTTCTAAAATAGAAAATTGATCTTGTGTTCTCTTCGGCTCCACCAGATGCTCTCTTTTTTTCCTTATTAGACTTGTTTCACTTGGCTTAATTTGCTTAAGAAGGTTCATTTTGTTAAGTGTGTTGTCTTATTGCTGTTTCAGGCTGACTTAGGAGTCAAATTAAAGATTCAGATAATGGCTGAGAAGTGTGACACAGATTTTGTTGAAAACAGTTGCCGTCGTTTTGTGGTTATATTGCCTGTTGACTGTTCCTCCTCAAATGCATCAACTAGTAGTAATTCAATTGGCGGTTCTGTGATTTCGGCAAGTTCAAGGTCCAAGAGTAGTCAATCATCTAATTCAAAGCAGTTAGATCCTTTGATATTATTAGACGCGCTGGTGGATATGCTTGCAGATGAAAACCGGGTCCACTCCAAAGCTGCTCTGAATGTGTTTTCTGAAACACTCTCGATTCATACTCATGTCAAACATGCTGATGTGCTGATAGCTAGGGGTGGTCACAATGCCTCCGTGATTGTCTCGAGCCCTTCTACAAATTCAGTGTATTCGTCCCATCCAAGTGTGCGAATAACAGCGTTTGAACAACTATTGCATGGCTCTTATGGGAGCACTTGGCAAGCGCAGGTGGGAGGGGTTATGGGCGTGGGAAAAGTGAATGTTGAATCATTATGTTATTTTCAAGTAAAAATAATGCGTGGTCTGGTTGAGGTTTTGGCTCCTGTTTACGCTAGCAAAGAGCTAAAAGAGAGGAGTCAGGTTCTTATGCAGATTCTAGCTAGTCATGTGGTTAATAATGTTGACGAAGCAAACAGCGAAGCACGTAGAAAAAGCTTTCAAGATGTTATAGAATATCTTGCTACATGGTTATTGAATCGTAACGCATACATCGCTGCAGTTTTGGCTAGCCAAACTGGAAGTGAGGTAACCGAGTTGCTTGAGCCTTCGTACCAACTATTGCTGCAGCCACTTATACTGTGTCCACTCCGATGCACGACAGTTGAACAACAGGTGCCTCACACTACTTTTTTTCTTGTGTATCTCTTTCCGGTCTTGTCTTCCTCGTTGTCTTTAACTTTCACTTTTTTATATTTACCTACAGGTTGGAACGTTTGCAGCTCTGATTTTCTGTGTGGCATCGAAGCCCCCCCTTCTAAAAGTGACTCCAGAGCTGGTTAACTTTCTGCAAGAAGCATTACAAATTGATGAGGCTGATGAAACTGTATGGGCTGTAAAATTGATGAATCCTCAAGTGCTTAGATCGTTGAACAGAGTTCGAACAGCTTGTATTGAGTTTCTGAGCACAACTATAGCATGGGTTAATTTCCGAATGCAAACTTATACTGAAGTACCTGCCAAGGTAAATTCCATGTTTTTCAAGTCTCTAACATGTAGAGATCCAGATCACATCGTGGCGGTTGCTAAGGAGGGTTTAAGACAGGTTCGTAGCTAACTTTTATCTTTATCAGGATTCTTGCATGCACACATAAATTGAAGATTATTTGGGATATTTGGTGAAAAAAGAGATATTCATATTCTTATGGGAATTGATATGTGCAACAGTGCATGGTGTCAAAAATTAGAAACTTAGTGTCTAATTGTTATGTGTAAGTCAGAAAGGGTGAGTTGATGAATCATAAACTGTCTGATATTTTGAATAATGCTTTCAGAATTAGAAACTTACTGAGTCATGTGGCCATCCATCATCTATTTCTTTCCATTCCCTTAAATACCCATCTCTTTTACAGGGAAAAGCAATACATGGCAAAATTGATCTAAAGGAGAAACATGAAGCATTTAAGGTTTGTAATTCAACCGAAGTGATCTATGTACCCTTTCAGGATAAATCTGTTGGTTTGACTTACAAAGACACGGTACACTTGCTCTGCAGGCCAAACTACACTCAATGCAAGCTGTACAATGGACAAGATCACTAGGTGATGATGAGTTACGATGTCATGCAGGCTCCTTAATCTCCTTGCCTTAATGGGATAAATAGTAATGGGGTTTTATTGGCTTGCAGGCATATTAATGGAAGGCGTTGGTGAGCTGCTGGCTGCAAACAAAGTTAAACATGTACCTACAAGAGTCAAGTGGATGACCAACCTTGGGCGGAGATGCTGCTTCATCTTCAATCTTTTGTATTTGTTGAAAGCTGAAGCAATCCAGTGAGTCCTCTTTTCTTTCGAATATCAAATTCAGTTTAGTTTCCAACATATTGTGTAGAACTGGTGGTCAATTGATGTTTTTGATTTTTTTTTGTTTTCCGATAGTGAACCTGAAAAGGTTGAATCAAGGGGGGCAACAAACTTTGTTACATATCTTTGGATAGTAGTTCTGCTATTTGTTTGTGTCTCGCCTTTGATATACTTTCTATGGAGGAGTTTGAAACAGAAACCCCCACCGGAATCCACCTCACCGGAATCCACCTCGCTGCCAGACCCAAAACTGATTGTGGCTGATAAACCAAAAACACAGAAAAAGAAAAAGAAAATACTTTCTGAGCCACCTGCTGCATTCCTGGAGGCAAACAAGAGATTCGAGCCCTATGTAGATTGCTTAGATTCCTTTGAAGCTTCTGATAGGTTGCCTCCCAAAGATTTATTGAGAAAAGCTTGGAATAGGACAAGTGTGGGTAAATTGACCTTATTAGAAAAGGTTATAGAACAAAGAGATGACTCGGCAGTTGTTGAAGGTTTCTTAGAGAAAAGTCGTCCTGTTTTCATAAAATGTGGACTGCGATCTGAGGAAATGGAAAACGAGATCGCAGTCCTCATTTCAGCGGATTATCACCCCAACATAATCCGTTACTTCATTTCTGAATTTGAGGATAATCACTTCTATTACAGTTTGGAGAGTTGGGTTTGTAATTTGTCATCTCTCGTCAAGTATTTTGGAAAACAAAATTCATCAGACAGTGAATTAGTTTATTTAGGAATACAAAACTTGTGGACAACAACCGGCGCTCCGTCAACACACTTGATAAGTCTCATCAGGTAAATATGGACATTAGATTTGATGTAGAGATAATGTTTTCTAATTTACATTTCGATTAATTTTATACTTACATTTGTTGGACTGTTTTTGTGAAGCAGAGATGTTGTTTTAGGTCTTGAACATCTGCACAGCCTAGATATAATTCATCGAGACTTGAGGCCGGAGAACGTGATGATTGTGCATGCTGGGAAGACCCCAATTGCGAAAATAGGCAACATGGACATTGCTAGGATTAAAGAGGCACCATTGTTGAGTCACCATGCTAGAGGTTTTTGTGTTTTCTTATCCCGTATATTGATTTGATATACTAAATGACCTGTCATAATTGTCTGCACGTGATTGAGTTTTCAAACCATTTTTAAAAACGCCTCTGTAAAAATTGCAGGTGAGAGGAGTCCGGGTTTCCAACCACGAGAGCAATTTGAAAATGAGAAGGAAACCACGGCAGTTGACATGTTTGCCTTAGGATGTATAATGTTTTACGTTATATCTTCAGGCAAACATCCATTTGGAGCGGTTAACAAGCGTAAAGCCAACATTCGGAGAAATAACTGTGATTTACGTCCAATACAAAACTTTCCCGAAGCTTATGACCTGATCCAACATTTGGTGGACTCCGAACCTAATTCTCGGTAATGAAATTTCCAATCTCGATTCAATTTTGACTCAGCTAATTCTTTGCTAATATGTACTCTTGATTTGCAGTCTGATCGCTAGTCAAGTGCTTCTTCACCCCTTTTTTTGGAATTATGATGTGAAGCTTGATTTCTTCATGAAGGTTAGTGACTATGCTGTTGAGGTTAATTGGCTCTTGTCAACTGAACTGGATGCGCTTAGCCTTGGAACGGCTATAGGAGATACTAGTTGGGATGGTAAGGTAGATGATATCTTCTTAGATCACAACAACAAATACAGTGCAAGGCACGCGAACGCTTCAATGACTAGCTACGTACAAACGATGAAAGATTACAATTATGCCAAGATTAGTGATTTATTAAGGGTGATAAGAAACACTCAACATCACTATGGTCGACTTCCAAAAGACATCAGGGTTTGCTCTCTTAAACTAATCATTTGTCCACTTAAACAAATATTTTAAATACTTGCACTAAATTAAATGTTTTGAATTCTCAGGCAATTTTTCCAGATGGGGTTTACAAATACTTTGATGGTTTGTTCCCTAAGCTGTTTATGGAGGTATACAAGGTCGTTTATCCCAAATATAAGAAAGCCGATGAGTTCAAACAATTCTTCAAAGAAATATAGTCAAGGTATGATTTCTTGGTAAGTCTTAGCATTATTTTGTCATTAGTTTCATGAAGTTGGCATTCACATTTTATGAGAGTGTCATGGTTCTGTTGTAAGAGTCGTTAATATAGAATTCCGAGTACTGAAAAACACACATCTGACTCATTGTAGGTGAGAAGAAGCCCAAAACGCCATTACTGAAGGTTAGTAACTATCTTTTATCTAATGCCACTTATGACTCACGAGCTAAGGAGTCCTACTCAAAGGAGGTGTTAAGCCTAAGCTGGAGACTGAAACTCCTCAAATCTAAAGGCTAAACCCCCTGATTCACAGGAACCCTTGGATATTTTAATCTCTAGTTTAAGATTAGTGCCATTAAGGAACTGCCTTCACTTGCCATATTTCTTCATCAGAACTGGTTTGCTACTAGTTTTAGATTAGTTAGCTTGGAGAACGATCCTTACTTTCCCTCTTCTGTTTGATATGTCATTCTTCAGTTTGAAGTCTTAACCTAAATCATGATGGTTCATCTACCATAACTGGAGGCTAAGTCTTACTCGGACAACTTCAAGTGGAAAGGAAAGGCAAAAAACCTCAACCAGAAAATTGTTCTTACACCTCTGAGCATAAGGAGAAAACCTCATTTGATCATGTTTCTTTGTTATTTAGCATCTGTGAGCTTTTGTTTGAAAGAATCATTTATCCATGGAGGGATTCTTTTTTATGTTTCCTTGTTACAATAATATGATGATGACTATGGAACACGCTCCTTTGATATTTCATCAAGTTTTCTGATCATTTTACTTACTGTTCGTGTGAATGAAAGAGAGAGATAAATGGTCAATAATCCATAAGATACCAAAATTTAAAGACAAATTCGAATCGAAAGAAGATAAAAACAGAAGAGAGATTGTTGAAATGAGACAACAGAAGATTTTGGATCATTTATAGTCTGATAAATTTTGAGATTTTTTTTATTTGGTGTTTTTATCTCTGTGTGTATTTGGACTATGAACATGCAAAAGATATTTTTATGAGGGATGAGTGTGGAAGATATGAGTCGAACTTCCTGATGCTTATCCTTACAAATCTCCATCTGTTGGTTTCATTACTAAAATATACCACTCGAATGTCGATGAAATGTAAAATTGATGAATCCTCAAGTGGGTAGGTAACAATCATTATCGTCTTTCTACAAAAGAGATTATAGATGAACCGATATAAAACCTGACTGAAAACGACCGTTTTAGAAAATTGATATTCTATAAACCATATTTCTTAAACTGTTTTGAAACCTGTGAGAGAATATAATTATTTATTGGATTGATCAATGAGTTATTTGGTTAAATTAATGTTATTTCTGATCAATCCGAATATCCGATCCGATCCGATTTGAACAAAACATAAACAATCTTCGCCTGCCCGGTGTGATTAACAGTCTTCTCTAACAATCTAAACTTTCGTAATGCAGTTGAGGAGTTCATTGGGGTACGTAACTCTATATATGGGTATATATCTATAATCTATCCGTAAGCAGCCCACATCTTAAAATGGTTAGATTTAAATTAAATGAAACATTGATTGAGGTTTGGTTTTGGGTGTCGGTGATTAATGTGATGTTAAAACGGAGCCGTTTCGTTTATTTTTCAGGATGATGAATTAAAATCTTATACATGGTCGGACCTACATTATGAGGAGGTAAAAATTATAAAATATAATTTTTTTTCAATTGAATAAAATAGTTTTTTGGCATATTGATCCGTTCAAGATTAAGGTTTGCACTTTGATGTCTTCATTTCGTTATGTTAAACTTTAATAAGAAATTTGTTTGGGTCCTCCATGCACTAATATTCTCAAAACATGGAGAATGCGTCCGGTGAAGCAAAACGAACTTCTTGACTTAAGACTTGGTTGGGGAAGTTATACGTAATGATGATGATATGATAACTTTGGATTTATTCGAACGTATTATATATATAAGCGTTTTACATTTGATCAATCTAGAGGTGTGGGTGAATATTTTAGTACTCTTTTTGTAATTTTTGATTGGGTGGTTGAGTTTTTACTAAGGAAGGATTCGAATAATCGATATTGGTGAGACGTAAAGAGTCACTATTTCATTGACTTAATATTCGTTTAACTTGTTTTGTGTTCTTCGATGTCAGTTCTTAATTAGTTTTCTCGAATGCATGTGTTCGTGATTTGGTTTGGATTCGACGTTAAACCAAAACGGAGACAATATAAACTAAATAATTAAAAAAAAATAATAGTCCACGATCAAATAATGGCAAATAATTCAAGATTTGGCGATACCTCGAATCAAATAAGAGACGAAGAATATTGGCCGAACGTTTTCTATGCTTTTGCTGTCCCATCTACACAAAATCAATAAAAATATTCTGAATTTAATATGTTGAACAGAACAATAAATAATGTAGTAAATGAAGTATGAATACTCTATAGTACTATATTTGTTATTTGATATATAGGTGCCTCGAGTAAGGGATATTTCTCAGGATACCTCTTATTCTGGCCATCGTTGTTTCATAGATGGATCGTGGAAAAAAAGTGATAAATTTTCAGGTACAGGCTGGGTATGTACCTTAGTTAATGGAGAGGCGCCAACCATGGGAGCTGCAAACCTGCGTAGAAGTCTCTCTCCCTTACATACCGAAGTGGAAGCTCTTCTTTGGGCAATGAAGTGCATGATAGGTGCCGATAACCAAGATGTGGCTTTTTTCACAGACTGTTCAGACCTGGTGAAGATGGTGTCTTCTCCAACCGAATGGCCGGCATTTTCAGCGTATTTGGAGGAGTTACAGAGCGACAAAGAGGAATTCACAAATTTTTCTTTATCTTTAATTTCTCGTAGTGCAAATGTAAAAGCGGATAAATTGGCACGAAATGTTCGTACCGAACCGCATCACATCACGTATGTAAACAACATTCCTCAGGAATGGCTCTTTTGAGTCTTAATTAATAGCGGTTGACAAAAAAAAAAAAAAAAAGGTGCCTCGCATGTTCTCTTCATGGACTTTTAATCATTTAATTTAACTTTTGGCAAATCAAAATTATAATTTCTGACGGGTTATTATGAGTTATGATCCTATCCTTGAAATCTTATGATATTCCTATTCTAATATTGACCAAAACGTGAGTTAATGAACATCATTGGCGAAACTAATAAATATATTTTAATAGATTTAAATTATTAAAACAAAGTATATTAAATAAGATATAAAAATATGAAAATCTTACGTTTTATGGATAAATTTCTAAGTTCAACTTCATAATATTTTTTAAGTTTTTTTTATTTATTTTACTAGGTAAAAAATCATATAAACCTTGTTTTTAAAATAATAACAAACAAAATCTTACTTAAGTACATGGCCGAATGAACGAATTAAAAAAAAGAGAGAAAATTCTGATGTCAATTGATAATTACTAGTAGACAATTTCATAAAATATTTAAGGTATCACCTAATCCCATTAATTTAGACGTGGGTCCGTTCTTTTTTTTTTTTTTGTCATCCGAAATTAATTATAGCTCAAAAGAGTCATTTCTGAGGAATGTTGTTTACATATATGATATGAAGCGGTTCTGTACGAATTTTTCGTGCCAGATTATCCGCTTTTACATTAGCATTTCAAGAAATTAAAGAAACGGAAAGAAACAAAAAAAACTATATTTTAGCCCGTCAAAAAAATTAAATTGATAATCTACTCCAATGACATTTTCAACCAAAAAAAAAAAAAAAGAATTGTGAGGACGAAAACTCTTCGTCGTTCGGCGAGTTTCTCCGGTGATCGGCAAAGTCTTTCCGGCATCTAATTGAATTTCACTAAACTAATAAGTAAGTTTCTTGAAGTTTCGATTTACAAAACTTTTGCTGTCTACTCGAAGTTTTCGTCTCGTCTCGTTCTTCGATTTCAATTCTGAATCTCAGACAAGTTTGCTATCTCTGGTTCTTGTTGGGTTTTGTAGGAATATTATCAGATTAGGAAGTGTGAGACTTCGGTCTTGATAAAAGAACATGGTTCAAAGTCAGTCGTTAAGCACATTAACAATCTGTGGAAGTGTAAAAGTTTCAAGCTTGTTGAGGAATCGTTTGAATTCATCGAAAGCTTCAAGCTTGATCGGTGATCGATGTGTGTCGTGTCAGTTTTTGCGTAAATCACCGTCCTTTAGAAGTCATTGGAAGTCAATAAAGCAAAGAAATTTGTTGAGGGTTGAAGCTAGATGGCCATTTCAAGGGGGTGGTGGTGAACAAGGTTTAGACCCGAGCTCTGAGCGGAGCGAGAGTGCCAATGAAGATATATTGATCTTTTTCTTTCAGCTGGATTTGGCTACTCGTGTACAGGTTAAGAGGATATGCGGGTTTTTTTTTCGCTTTCAAGATTATTGATTACGGTTTTAAGGTGTTGCAATATTGAATGATCTGTGGATTGGTATGTTTTGAAATACCAGTATGCAATGAATCTGGAGCAGTACGACATTGCGCAGCAACTAAGAGAAAAGCTAACTGAGGTATGTGAAATGTTATGATATGATCTTTAAGTGCGACAAGTTTTGAACTTTTTGATCATGCAAAGATGTTAGCTTTTGGCTGGACTTATCTTTGTATTCTCGTATACCGAAATCGCAACGCGGTAGTGAATAACAGTCTGTGGTTGGTAGGTGGAAGAGGAGTCGATAAGGCTGCAGGAAGGGAAAAGAGGGTCATCAGCTAAAAGTGAAGCTCAAGACAAGGGTATTAGTATTATAAGGCTACGGTGAGCAGTTTCATTCGGTTATTTGTTTGCTTTGTAAGACATTTTTCTCTATGTGTCTGTAAATATTCAGTATATCATCTTCGTTGTTTATTTGATATGATTGCAGTGCCGATCTCCAGAATGCCATTGACAGTGAGGATTACGGTTTGGCAGCTAAGTTACGAGATGAAATCTCAAAGCTTGAGGCAGAATCATTAGCTGTATCTGCGAAAGCCTTGGCTTTTGAAAATGCAGAGTATGCATTTCGCTTAGGACAGAAGCTTAGACACAAAACTTTTGGTACATCTTCATATGTATTATTAGTGCTTATCTCACTACGGTTTACATTCATATATCGGGGAACTTACGTTGATTTCTTTTCATTTGGCTTAGGTTACCGGGCTGTAGTTTGTGGTATGGATCCAATTTGCTGTGAATCAAGCTCTTGGATGGAAGCTGCAGAGGTTGAAAAGTTACCTCGCGGATCCAATCAGCCATTTTATCAGGTTCTGCTTCTGAAGCAAATGTTCATTAAGACTTGCGTTGAAAGAAAAAGAAGCTAAAAATTAATATTTAAATTGTATTCATATACCTATGAACAATCTACAGAAGAAACATGGATATCTTAATCTCTTGCATGTGTCTAGCAGGTTCTAGTCGATGCTCGGACGCACCCAGATCTAGTAGTGGCATATGGTAAGCTCTGAGTTTTCAAGTCCTTTGGATCTCAAAATCTTGCTATTGCACAACCTTAACCGGTGAACAATCTCACTATTACTTGACAATGGATCTGATATTGCAGTTGCTGAAGACAATCTATTAGCTCCCGAGAAACCCGACAAAGTGAGTAGACTCAATGTGGACAACTGACTCGTCATTGTAATAGTTTGACTCATGTTTGTGTGTGGTTTCTGCAGGAAAGGTTTGATCATCCATACATTTCTTTTCTCTACTATGGAGCCGACACAGCTGGAGATTTCATCCCTGTCAAACAATTGCGTGAGAAGTACAACAGACCTCGGCATGAAGTTCCTTTTGATTCACAAGAAGAAGATTAAGATGAACTTAGCATGTAAGCTAAGAGTTCACAACCGCAGACTCGAGCACAAATCACAACAAAACAAGAACTTTAGCATAGCTCAAAGCATCTGGCTACCATTTCAGAGATGTTCTGTTGGTTATATACCCATGTAGATGTAGTTAGCACTTAGCTAGCACGACTGTTCTTTCTATATACACTATAACAAATCAACTTTATTCAATAATGCTTTGTGTATAAATGCTTCTTTGTTCATCCTACTGATTTATCCAGATTAGCAAAGACAACTAACCAAGTGCTAAGAACTCAGATTCCATTATGCTATGGCCTGCAATCTTGCTCAGGCC